CTATTTTGGTTAGTTATTTAGTTTAATAGAGAGAAAAACTACAAATTGTGTATATTTATTAACAGAAAAAGAAAAAGAACGATGAATTGTAACATCAATATACATAAGAAGGGTCAGAAAAATGAGCGAAAATGTTATTATTAATCATTTGGGTCACTATAGGCGGATATGATCTTGAGAATCAGTCATAATAAACGATATGTTATTTTAAACGTAGTCATTATATTCAAACTTTTCTATAGAGAATTTAATACGAAAACCAAACTTAACACTGCAATTACTTCATATTAAGCGGTTGGTCAATATAGGCGGAGTCATAATAAACGAATTCTACTCTAACTTTATTTTCAAAACAACGTTTGATAATAATATACACTATAACTAACTATAGATCCATTATAATAAAACATGCTTTAAATAGATACCTATAAAGAATAAAACAAAAAATTGTTTGAACGAAATACATATTTAATAAACCATTCCACAATGCTTTCGATTAAAAAGCAATTTTCAATGGTATAGGCACGTTACTGAAAATAACTTTAGTCGAAACAATAAATTGTTATGTAGCGAGCGTTTTAGTCACTGTTTTTCAACCTACGCTCTTAAGTATTTATATATAACTAGCGACCCGCCCCAGCTTCGCACGGGTGCAATGATGATACTAAATATATATATTATATTTTTTTTGTTAAGATTGTTCTCGAGGAGGGGAAACTTTCAAAAGACGCCCCTTGAACATACTAAATATTCTACAGAATGTTTTTGTAAACAAAATTCACAGCTTTTTTGTCATTAAACAATACAAACCGACTGGTACTGTAATATCTTTAAAAATATTCATTTAAATTACATGCTAGGGCCATATTGATCTATAATAGATGCACAATATATTTAAAGTACTTAATTGGATAAGAATTAATGCTGTATTGNCCCAAGTTTCTAGCTTACAGAGTTACAGGAGAAATATTTCTCACTTATGGAGTATATAAAAATAGGGCTCGACAACACATTGAGTTTTCGTTTAGACATTATGAGGAAGTACAGGACCTTTCTTCGAAACTGCTTTTATGAACTGACTATAACACATTTGGCTATAATAAAATAATAAAGTCTTACTCGGTCATTCGAATACAACGTAAGTTTTTAGAACTATAGAAAACAACGACAGACGTACATCTGGTCATTCGAATGAAATAAGAGTCTTGAAATTTAAGAACGAGTCATAAAATAAAAGTAAACTATCCCTTATAGAGGTGTAGGCAAGTACTAGGGTCAATTGAAAAGTCCCCGGCCTGATGGCGGCACCAGAACTAAATCCATATGATTTTCAGTTAGTCCTAACCTTCAAAAGACGCGTCTATAAATTTGACGGCTGTCGGATCATTAGTTTGTGAATTATAGCATTTTTAGTGAAGCAACTTTTGTTATTGTGAAAAAAATGGATAAAAAGGAATTTCGCGTGTTGATAAAATATTGCTTTTTGAAGGGAAAAAATACAGTTGAAGCAAAAACTTGGCTTGATAACGAATTTCCGGACACT